GTTCAAAAACCACCCGCCTTCAATCCGTGAAACTCTTGCCATTGCTAAAAACGAACGTGCGCAGCGCTAGGGCGAGAGCCACAGTTTTGAAAACCACCCGCCCTCCATCTGCAAAACGGCCGTCACTGTTTTAACTTCGGAGTCATAGACGGTGAGAAAGTCCCAGGCGAAACGCCTGGCCCGCCCTAGTAAAAATGGGCCTCGGAGTGCGACAGGGAAGATCAGTTGTAAGGAAAAGGAATGGAGGAGGAAGAGATGGAGGAGGAGAAAGAGGAACCAGGGTAAACCCAAAGTGTTTCAACGATGCTGCCATACAGGCCATCCCGTATAAGCCCCACCAAGCATGTGTTACACTGCGCGAAGCGCCCCCGGGAAACACGGGGCACTGTGGGCCCACAGATCAGGCGGCAGCTGTTCGTTTGAAGAATTGTTACCATTCATCTTGCGTGATGCGAGGAATTCGCCAAAGCGGAAAAGAAACCGACGGCAGCTGCCCAGCGACAACCGCGCGTTGAAAAAAAACACACTTGAATTACTGGAGGCAACACAAATACAAAACATGCGATCACCCAGGTCGGAAAAAAACGCCCTCCTCCGCATTAGAAACGGCTGCGTCACGACATGCGTCAAAAAATGAAGACGCGCTTGAAATCCCAGGACGCGCGCGAGGATATGTCGCGCGCGCGCAAAGACAAGCCCTCTTCGCGCACTCGACGCAGGCCACCGACTTTGCAAGGGGGCCGCCCTGCATGCAGAGGATATCATTGCCTCTACTTTTTCTGCCCCCACTGCCACCCCCACCGCCGCCACCCCCTACCACACACGCCTCCCGCATAGAGGCCAAGGGCGTTCAATCGTTTTCGTTACATAACGCGTTTGTGGGAGCCTCGGCATGTCTGCGCGCGCCATCGAATCTTCCCCCGGCAACCACTCGCATGACTTCATCCCTTTGCCATACTCGTCGTTGCTGTGGTCGCGCATGGTGAAACTCATGGTCACGCACTGGCATTGTTCATTTCCTCGTAGAAATGCTCCTGGATGGAAAGGCGGAATGATCTGCGAGGCTCATCCACCTCATTCATGACCTTCATCCACACGTCGTAGAAGTGATAGAGATCGGGCTCCGCGCTCTGGCCCGTACCACGAATCTTGTACTCCATCAAGTCATGGCACGTGCGCACCTGACCGCGGTCCTCACGGGCGAGCACGCGCACGGCGCTCGTTCGCAGAATTGCACGACCCTTCAGCACCTGATTATTGCCGAGCATTGCGGCATCGAAGCAATCGAGCTCGCTAGCCAAATGACGCAATGGACGCGACGATTTCGGGCCTCTCGAGATCTGGCTGATCTTGCTCACCAGATCCGACGCGGTCATCAAGTCGAACCAGCCAGAGTTCCCAGAGCCCTGTAGCGCCTGGGTCTTGACCTTCTGAATGTTGAACGCGCCCAAGGTCCATCATGTGGCAGGCTGCCGCTTGCGGGGGCACGACGCGACGTGGCGGACCACGCCTCTGCTCCACTTCCCATCGCCGGCTGCGTCGGGGACGGGCTCCACGCCCACCTTCTCCGTCTTGCCAGCGCCGTTCCAATCGGCAGCAGCGCGCGGCAATTTGTCGGGGAGAGCGCCCCCGTCTCCGCCGAGAGGCGGACCAACCGGCAGCCCTTTGCATCGGCCGCGCCGGAGGTCACCCTAAACGCTATCTTCCTCACCGGGCGGCTCGCTTTCGCCATCCTCGGAGTCGTCGGAGGCCTCACCCCAGTCGCCATCTCGATCGGGGTCGTCGTCGTCTGGCGGGCCAGACTCGCGCTGCTGCTTGGCTGGCGCTGCCTCGGCTGGCCCGGGCCGCTCCTGCCCCCCCCTTGGAAGGCGCCACCCTCGCCGCCAGAGCCGCAGCCTGGCTTTTGGGGCCAGGCGGAGAGTGGCCGGGGAATGCGGCGGCGGGGATCGACGGCCTGCGCATGCTCCGCTGTCCTCTCTTCCTTCGAGCGGCGCCCCGCCTCTCCCCTGAGCTCGCTTGTCGGCGGCGGCGACAAGCCCCGCGCGCTTCTCAACGCACAGCCCCTGCCTCCCGGCCCCCGCCTCGACGCGGCCCCCCATGTCCCGCGCTGCTCCCGCGAGCAGATCCGAGAGCCTCTGGCGCTCGGCCCTGGCAGAGTCTTTGAACGCCCCCAATCGCCTGGAGACGTCGCCCCCGGCCTTCTGCCCCGCCGCGCACTCCGAGACACTCGAGACACCGTCGCGAAACGCTTCGGGCATTGGCGGCAATCGAAGGGCCCTGCTCCAGGTGCGGATCGGGGGCGATCCGCTCCTCGAATCCCCTGCTCGCTTCGCGATGCCCTTCCTCTTCCTCTTCCTCTTCCTTTATCTCTCTCTCTTTCTCTCTCTCTCTCTCTCTCTCTCTCTCTCTCTCTCTCTCTCTCTCTCTCTACATATATACATATGCATGTATATATATAAATGCATGTATATATATAATGTTCTCTCTCTCTCTCTATATATATCCTCTCTCTCTCTCTCTGTATCTCTCTCTCTCTCTCTCTCTCTCTATCTCTCTCTCTCTCTTCTCTCTCTCTCTCTCCCTCTACAATGACTCAATATGAAGATTACTCTCCCTGTTCCCCCCCAGGGCGGCCTGAAAGTAGTAGATCCCCCCCCCCCCCCCCCGCGCACTGTTTTACATGCAGGATTCCCGTGAGTTGGGTTTTCGCTTGCGTTTGTTTTCAAAATGCTGCTCTCGCTGAGGCGCAGGCCTCATTTCTGCTCCCGAATCGTTCCGAATCGTGCTCCCGCTGCAGCGCGGGCCTCATTTTCGGATCGGCGTTTTGCCTCCATCGTTCAGGATGGCGTTCTCGCCCCAGCGCGGGCCTCTTTCTCGCGCGCCCATCCGCCCGCCACCACCGCGCCGCACCACGCCCCGCCCCGCCGCGCGCACGCCCACCGCCACTTCCACCCACCAACGCACGCACGCACGCACGCACGCGCATCACCACTGGTCACCGCCACCACCACCGCACTACCCCACCCACCACCACCACGCTACACCGCGTCACACCACATCACACGGGCGCACACACAGACACACACGCACGCAAGCACGCACGCACGCACGCACGCACACACACACACACACACACGCACACACACACACACACACGCACACACACGCACACACAGACACGCACACACACACACACACACACACACACACACACCACCACCACCACCGCCACCACCACCACCGCCATCACGCACGCACGCACCTGGCCCACCACCAAAACACCAAGACGCCACACCACGTCACACCACAGCACACGCGCACACACGCACACACACACAATCACCACCACCACCACCACCACCACAAAAACCACAACCACGCACACACGCACGCACGCACGCGCACAACCACCCACTACGCACACGCGCGCGGATAGAGAAAATCAGCGCCATGGTAAGAGATGGGAGCGAGGGGTAGGATGTCAGATGTTGACGCGAGCGCACCTAACTTGCCCTCTCCCTCTCGCTCTCTCCCTCTACCCTCTCTCTCTCTCTCACTCTCTCCCTCTGTCTATTTATCCCTCTCTCTCTATCTCTCTCTCTCTCTCCCCCCCCTCTCCCTCTCTCTCCTCCTCTCTCTATCCTTCTCTCTTCTCTCTCTCGCTCTCTCTCTTCTCTTCTAATCTTATATATAGCATTATCTTCATATGTAAATGTATATCCTCTCTGTTCTCGCTCTCCCTCTCTATTCTTTCCTCTCCTCCTCGTTCTCTCTCTCTTCTCTCTCTTTCTCATCTCTCATCTCTCTCTCTCTCTCCTCACTCTTTCTCTCTCTTTCTTCTTCCCGCCTTTTGTCTCTCTCTCTCTCTCTCACTCTCTTCCCTCTCTATCACACACTCTATATCTCTATCTCTCTCTCCCCTCTTTCTCTCCTTCTCTGCTTTCTCATTCTCTCCTCGTCTCTCCTCTCTCTCCTCCTTATGTGTATATATGATCATATCTTTGATATGTATATGTATATCTATCATATATATGTTATTCTGCATCTCTGTATAGATGAGTCTCTATCCTGTCTCCCATTCTATAGTTACTTATCTTATCTATGTTCTCTCTCTCTCTCGCGCTACTCTCTCTCTATCGTCCTATCTTTCTGTATTGTTGGTTTCTTTCTCTCTCTCTCTCTCTCTCTCTCTTTATCTTTCTCTCTCTCTCTCTCTCTCTCTCTATCTCTCTCTTCTCTCTCTCCTCTCTCTTCTATATATATCCTCTCTCTCTCTCTCTCTCTCTCTCTCTCTCTCTCTCTCTCTCTCTCTCTCTCTTTCTCTCTCCTCTCTCTCGCACCCCAGGGCGCGGCCGCAGCGGGTCAGGGCCCGCCACGGACGCGCGCGCGCACTCGCGAGGTTTGCCGCCCTCACGGCGGCTGGCCTGGCGCCAGGAGGGCCCGCCCCAGCAGGCCGCAGGCGGCCGCGCGCAGGCGCGCGGCCGAGCAGGCCCTGGGCCCCAGCGAGGCTGCGCCCAGGAGGCGGCCGCGCGCGAGGCGCGCAGCCGAGGGGCCCGCAGGGCCAGCGGGGAGCCCGCCAGCAGCGCAGGCCCAGAGCTCATCCGAGCGGCCGCCCTGAGTACGGGTCATTGCCGCTCAGCAGCCGGCTCAGGTAGAGCCTCTTCTTCTTTTCTCCAGCCGTGGCCTGCGGCCCTGGCGGCAGGCGGCCGCCGCACTCCGCCTTCAGGCCCTCGGCGCGGTCCACGCCCTTCAGCTGCGCGAACGCCCCGCACTTGCAGCAGAAGGCGTACGGTCCCGCCGTGCGCAGGCCGCGCCCCAGGTCCCAGGTGCACCTCGGGCAGCTGCATCTCGCCGCGCGGCGGGCGGGGGCCTGCCACCCGCTCAGGGCTCCTCGAGCGCTGGGCATCGCGGGCACCCTCGCTCGGCCCCTGGCCTCCGCCGCCGCACTCGCCAGGCCCAGCGGCCGCCGCAGCCGCCGCCGCCAAGGCGCAGGCAGCCGCCACGGGGAGGCCCCCCGCACCGCAAGCAGCAGCAGCCTCGCCTCCTCCGTCAGCACGCACAGGATCGTCGCCCCGCGCAGCACCTGCATCACCTCGAACGCCCAGAGCCGCTCGCGCTGGCTGCAGCGGCGGCACCTGCTCCACTGCGGCCGCAGGCGGGGGCGGAGGCAGCCCCGATGGCGCCGCGTCAGGGTGCGGCCTGTCGTCCTCGCCGTCACTGCCGCTGCCCAGGTCATCGGGCCCGCCCTGCATCGCGTTCACCAGCGGCAGCAGCGGGTTGTGCCAGGTGCCTGGCCACGGCCGCCGCAAGGCCTCGATCCCTCGGCCGCGGAGGCCCTGGGGCCGCGGCAGCCCAGCTTGGCGGGGCGGCTCGCTGGAGCCAGCGGGGCCCAGGCCAGGCAGGGCTCCAGCGAAGCCAGCAGCGCAGGCAGGTTGACCACCGCCTCACAGATGATGTCCTCCATGGCGCGGCAGACCTCGTCGAGCGTGCCCCACTGCATGGCGGCAACGTGCAGCCACCTCCAGGGTCGCCAGGCCCATCAAGCGCCCCACTGTGATGCGACGCACATCTGCTTTCATGAGCCACGCCTGCAGGACCATCGCCTGGACCAGCGCCCGCAGGCCTATGGAGCCTGCACGCCTCGTAGCCACTGCCCTCGTGTCCTCATTGTCGGGCCTGGCCAGCCAAGTGAGGGCATACTGCGCCGCCCAGGCCATCCAGGTGTCCTCCGCGGCCTCCGAGTCGCGCAGGTCGAACACCCAGCAGCTCGCGAAGGCCCTCAGCATGCTACGCAGGACCTGGAGGCCGACCGCGGCATCAGGGTCGGGGCTGCTGTTGCGCTCGGACTCGGCGTGGTCCACAGGTTGGCCCCGCGCTTGCGGGGAGCGGGACCTGCTGGCCGACCGTCCCGCACTGCGCCTGCGCCGCTGGGCGGGGACGGCCCGCGGGCCCACTGGCCGCTGTGGCCCCTCAGCGACGCCTCCTGGCCGCCGCCGCGTCGGCCCCTGCGGCGTGGCTCGGCCCCCCGCAGGGCCCTGCGGCTGGCTGGGGCGGCCACTCGGCGGAAACCGCGAGCGCCCTCGCCGCTGAGACGCGCCTCTCTGCCGCCACCCGCCGCCTCCTCCGCCATACGCCCCACCCACGGGCTCGAAGAAGGTGAAGTAGAGTGGCCCACGCCTTCCCCCAGCGTGCTGCGCGCTGCCACGGTCGCACAGGAAGGCCGGCGCCGCGGCGTGGTAGCCACGCAGCCGATGGGGCGTGGCCTGCCTGGCCACGCCCTCCAGCTGGAGCGCCTCGTCGATGTGGGCCTCCCTGAACGGCCCGCCGACACGCCAGACGCGCTCGCAGAACCCCGGCCCGCCTCAGCCGCTCCGCGCTGCGCGTCTCGGCGCTGTTGTGCACGAAGAAGCCGCGGTAGGGCTCCTCGTCGAGCATCCTGTACACGTACTCGACGCACTCCTCCATCCAGGACGCGCAAGCCAGGCTCTGGTCCACCAGATCGACGATCCAGGAGCTGGCCAGCGTGCCCAGGGCGGCCTCCAACGGCCCTGAGCGGCCCCACGCTTCGATGGCGTAGTGATCGTTGCCCTCCTGCGGCCACACCAGGCCCACCCGCCGCACAGCGCTGCCATGCCCGCGGCCTCGGCCAGGGCGGGGCCCAGGCCGACCTGCCCTCTGCGCCTGTGGCGACCAGCGGCCTCAGCGTCAGCAGGCCTCGCAGCAGGGGCACCCTTGGCCGCCTCCAGCAAGTAGTCGATATTCTGCTGCATCGTCCTCCTCCAGCATTCCGCCGCGGTGTGCGCACCATTCGTGGGCAGGAGCTCCTCCTCCTCCAGGCGCTCAGCCGCCTGCCGGCTCGCGTTGACCGCCGCAGAGCTCGCCAGCGGCCGACCCTGACGGCAGCGGGCCCGCATCCTGCCCAGCTCCGTGGGCTGCCAGGGCCTGCAATCCAGCAGCGTCCGTGCCTTGGCCGTGTAGGCCTCGCGCCCACAGTGCACGCATTGCACCCCGTATGAGCTGGTGGCTTGGTACTCGTGCCTCGTGAGGCTGAGCTTCGGGGCAGCTGGCTCCCCCCAGACCTGTCGGCGCTGGAGTCTGTCGTCTTCCCCGAGAGGCCTCCACAGGTCCAGCTGGCAGATGCGCGCCGCCGCCCAGCCCAGGTACGTGGCCGTGTCCAGGGCGCGCTGGAGCTCCGCGTGCAGCGCCTCCACCGTGTTGTTCGGCAGCCTGGTCTCCGCGGCGCCGAGGTTGGCGAAGAAGTCCGCCCAGCAGCCCCCAAGCCAGTCCAGGGGCCGCAAGCCCTCGGCCAGCGCTTGCTGGAGGCTGCGGTGGGCAGGCACCCAGCGGAAGCGCGGCGGTGGCCCATCGCGCCTCGCCGCGGCCGCGTGGAGCTGGCACCAGATGCTGGCGCGCCTTGCTCTGGCCGACTGCGCCGCCGGGGACCAGCCGCTGCCCTCCGCGACTAGGGCCTGCAGGTCCCTGACGATGACCTGGACGGAGCCCGCCTGCGCCAGCGGCGCAAGGCCCGCGTGCCGCCCCGCCCCCCCCACTGTCTGGCGCGGCCCAGGCAGCGGACCGTAGGCCGCCATGAGGGGGAGCCCGTCAGACCTGACGGCAACCGCAGCCCACCCACACCTGCGCGCCTCAGGGACTCGGGAGGCGTGCCCTGAACCATCCGTGTAGACCACCGACGGCCACCCCTCCTGCGTGGCGCCCCACTCGATGACCACGTTGTCCGACGGCGCGGGCGGCGGCATCGCTGGCAGCAGCGGCAGGCCGCACGCCAGCGGCAGCTCGCTAACCCCGATGGTCCACTTCTGCTCGGCTTCCTCCAGCTGGTGGCGCATCGCCACGATCGGCTTGCGGAGCGGCTCCTCATGCTCCAGCTCGTCGTCCCGCGGCACCATGAGTGCAGGACATGCACACCACCTGTGCATCAGCGTGTCCTTGCCCCCCCCGCAGGCCTGGCACAGGTCGGAGTCGGCATAGCCGTGGGCGTGCCTCCAGGCGTTGGTGAAGTGCCCTCCTGCCCACACCGCTTGGATGGCCCCCAGCTCCGCCGCAGGCCGTGCCCTGCTCGCCATGGCACGGACGGCCCTAGGCCAAGGGGTCTCGCCCTGGCCCTCGGGCAGGTGGGCCACCAGCCGCCTGCACTGCCAGCGCTGGATGCCCTCCACCAGCGCGTCCCTGATGCCCCGAGGGGCAACCCGCAGCATGGACAGCGTCTCGCCCAGGTCGGTCTGCAGGGCCCACGCTGCTGCCATAGTCCAGCCGATGCGGCCGAGCGTGAGCCACGTGGCCCCGAGCGGGCCGTGCGCCGTAGCCCAAGACAAAGTGCCCGCTCGCACCGCCTCAGCCAGCTTCCCCCAGCTAGCGCTCAGGCTGGCAAGGGAGCCTCGGCCCTCCCAGATGCGGCTGGCCAAGCGCATCACCAGCGGGGCGGTGGCCACGTAGATGGGGTCGTAGCCCACGCGCCGCTGCAGCAGCATGACCGCGGCGGTGCCACAGCCCGCCTTGGCCCCCGCCGTGACCGCCGCCAACGTCCTCAGCTGTGCCAGCGGCCGATCCGCCAGGCCAGCCACGCCAGCGCCATGGCCAGCCGAAGGGGACAGCCCCGTGGCGACCAGCGCCGCTGCGCGCCTCCCAGAAGCCCGCCTGAGCATGGCCACCCAGCTGCGCCTGGCCGCGAGGGCCTGCAGTCAGCGTTTCTCCTGCGTGCGGAGCACCTTCCGCCCGTGGAGCTCGTGCCCTAGGTTGCGCACCCAGAACTCCTCAGCGAGGCCCTCGCTCCGCATGGAGGGCGCCAGCAGCCGCGCCCTCCGCCTGGCGGAAGCCAGGTACCCCCACTTCTGCGGCTGCATGACAAGCCTGAGCTCCACCATGCTCGACGAGAAACTTCTGAGCGCCTCGGACAGGCTGTCGTCAGGCACGCCACGTGGTCCACCCCAGTCCAGGGTGACGTCGTCCACAGGGCCGCGCGGCGTCACCGACGGCGCAGTGGAATGCGCCCGCTGCAGCGCACGGAGCGTGAGCACCAGCAGCAGCAGCGAGTTGGCATTGCCGCAACCTGCGATGTTCCCCTGCCAGGCCACGAAGAGGTCCGACGTAGTGTTGAACGCCGCCAGCGTCCGTGGCTGCCGATAGGTGCTCACAGCAGCATCCACGCCAGCCTCAGGGGGAACCCCAGCGCACGGGCCTCCACGAGCTGAGCCTCAGGCGCCACCACCTCGTAGGCCTTCCAGAGGTCAAGGGCAACCTGGGCGGAATCCCAGCCGCCGAGGCGAGCCTGCTCCTTGGCCAGGTTCAGCTCGCACGCGGAGTCAGAGCTCGAGCGTCCAGGGCCCGTGCCCCAGACCAGGGACGAGGGGTGGGCGAGCTCCCAGGCCTTGGTGATCGGCCTTCGCGCTCGACTCCACACTCCCACCAAGGTCGGCATGAGGCCGATCAGCCTGCAGCCCCCGTCAGGCTTGGGCAGCCTCACCATGGTGTTGATGAGGCGGCCACTCGGCCACGCAAGGAGCTCCTCGCACTTGTGGTTGACCGCGGTCATGACGTGCAGGGCGTCGTCGGAAAAATCCTCCAGCGCCCTCGGCGGAATGCCCGACTGGCCCACCCCTGTGCGCCAGGGGAAAGAGCGTAGCACGTCGCGGACGTCGTGCAGCTGCAGTGGCGGCAGCGCGCCCTACGTGTGCGCGTCGCTCGGCAGCTCCATGCTGGTGAGGCCGTGGTAGTTCCAGATGTCGATCCACGGCTTCATCTCCCTGTCCACCAAGGCCGCCGAGCCTTTCTCCTGCAGCGCGGGCAGTACCTCCTGAAGCACAGGTACCTTGGAGGTCGCGCGCACCGCGCCAGCGCCACCCAGGAAGGCATCATCCACCCACTCCTTCCAGCGGGCCTCGCCGGCCTGGACCAACTTCCGATGCCTCCCCTTCGCCTCAGCCAGCGCACGCTTGAGGTCCCGCTCGAAGTCGGCCTCTGTCCAGTTGGCATCGGTTCGGAAAGGCCGTTGTGCCCACGGCGGCAGGATACTCCAGTGAACATGGCCCTCGACGTCCGCCAGGAACATCCTGAGGTGCGCCAGGGTGGCCGCGATCGACTTCATGCACTTGTCCCTCGCCGCCGCCGCCTCTCTGCCTTCTTCGTGTCTGTGGCTGTCCAGGGCTGCCAGCAGCTTGGCCAGGCGGCCCCGCTTGCTGAGGAGCTCGGACGCCCACCCAGCTAGCGCCGCCCAGGCATGGGCCTCTGGCCCCCGCAGCTTCCGCTTCTGGGGTGGCCTCCACTGCGCCAACTCCCATTTCAAGCCAGCAGCCACCCCCTGCGTGCCACGCCCTGCGAAGGTGCGGCGGGCGGGCCCCACCAAGTCCCGCCTGTTGAGGATCTCCGTCTCGACCCCCTCCAACAGCAGGTCCCAGATGATCTGCAGGCCTTGGTCGTCGTGCGCGGCCTGGACGCAGCGCATCACCCCCGTCCAGCGCCAGGGGCCGCGGGCGCAGCCAGGCTTGGCGGGCCCCCTAGGAACTGCCCTCGGCTCGTCGAGTACCTGCTGCCACGCCTCCACTCGCACCGACTGCAGTGGCAGGTGGACGGGCCAGTGGGGCCACGTGCTGGCACCCCTGTCCAGCCGCGGAGGCGCCGCCGCAAAGCGCGCCAGGCTCTTGGACACCACAAAGTAGTCAATATTGGAGCCCCTGCCCTGCCTGCAGGTGGAGGCGTCTGCGACCCGAATCTGCGCACGCAGCTTTCGGACCCAGCCGAAGTCCAGGACGTCCGCCTCCATGTTCCAGTCGCCCATGGCAGCCCAGTGGTAGCCCTCCGCCTCCAGCGCGCCAAGGTACTGGGCCAGCTGCCAGAGGATGCCCAGGTTGTTCGCCGAAAGGCCCTCTCCGACGTGTAGGTATACGCTCAGCACCATCACGC